TTTGGCTTCATGCCTGCACTCAAAACACTGCATACCAGGCCTTTTTGTAGAGGGCATGGGGTAATTAATAGTGTTTGCTCCTCTTCTGAGCTTCCTCTGATGATTTCTGATCTGAGATAGGTATGCCATGGCAACAGCACCATGGCTCACCCGATAGGCATTTGCTAAATACTTATTGATAGATTAATTGATAAAACAATGATGAGGATGTGTACAGTTTTGTGTAGTAATGGATTTGTATCATATTGTGTTTATTGACACTAGACCTGCAGAAAACCCTCAGTGTCTCTCGTGGCCCCCTTAGCATTCAAGGCTCTTCAGTGATCTGGTGCAAGATGCCCTTTCCAACCTCATTATACCTCTGCTATTTATACAAACCTTGCTGGTGTTTAAGCTCAGTTAAGGATGGGACTTATTTAATCATCTTTTTCTTTGTATGTCTACTACTTAGTGGGAAACTGAATAATATCAGTTGAATGAATGAATAAATGTGCTCACCATCATGAGCTGCCACATTGTTCCTCTATGCAAAAAACCAGGTGCTAGCACTCCTTGGCTCTGATGGTTTCCTTTGTCCAGCTCCATCCTCCTGGGTCCCATGTCCTAGTCCTGACACCGACTAGCCTTTACCAGGTGTGTTAAACTTCCCAACAATTTTGCCTGCATCATCTTATCTTTTATGAAAATGATCCTGCTAGGCTGCCACTCGTTGGGCTTAGGTTTTTGTTGTGTTTCTTATAATGGTGGTGACTTTTCATAGATTTATCCACACTTGCATTTCACTTGCCTTATTAGTAGATTTTGCCAATTTGCACATTAATGAGAGTAAACTCTATTTAAATGGCACGTTAATATATGAGTGGAAGTTTAAGGAATACTACTGACTAGGGACACCTGGGTGGCTCAGTTGATTAAGCGTCCAACTTCAGCTTAGGTCATGATCTCATGGTTTGTGGGTTTAAGCCCTGTGTCAGGCTCTGTGCTGACAACTCAGAGTCTGGACCCTGCTTTGGATTCTGTCTGTCCCTCTCTCTCTGCCCTTCCTCTACTCACATTCTGTCTCTCTCTCTCTCAAAAATAAATAAGCATTGAAAATTAAAAAAAATACTACTGATTAGTCTAACTTAACATGATAGGTGAAGGGAGCTTTTTTAATCCTTAAGATTATGTTTTTCCTACCACATAAACATGTTTTTCTTCTAATGTATGAAAGAGAAAGGAGCTAAGATTTATTTAGCACCTACTATTCCTAACACTATGGTAAGAACTTTTTTTTTTAATATTTTTATTTATTTTTAGGAGAGAGAGAGAGAGAGCACGTGAGCAGGGGAGGGTCATAGAGAGAGAGGGAGACACAGACTCTGAAATAGGCTCCAGGCTCTGAGCTGGCAGTCAACACAGAGCCCGACGCGGGGCTCGAACCCACAAACCGCGAGATCATGACCTAAGCGAAAGTCCAACGCTTAACCGACTAAGCCACCCAGGCGCCCCTATGGTAAGAACTTCTATTTGTTATTGCAGTTGATTTTCAAAACAATCCTGGAAAGGAATAAAGCGTGATAAGAGCCAGGCTTTGATGTCAGAAAGACGTAGGTGTGATTTCTGGACCCCAGCCCACCCACTGCATGAGCTTAGGGAGGTCTCTTAATGATCCTAGCAGGCCGGGTCTAGGGACCCAGAAGAGGTGCTACTGGATGAGCCAAGAGGATGTCTGGCTGAGCATAGGATGGAAATCAAATGTGAGCCAGCAGGAGGTGAAAGCCGAACTTATTGAAGATGTAGAAAGAGCAGATGCAGACGGAGTGTCCAGGAGACTCAGAAAGGAAAGGACCATGAGTCTTGCCTTTGTTTCGGGTCTGGGGCTTCTGGTTGAGGGTAGGCGGTGCAGCCATGTATGTACCCTGTCAGGAATCTAGGAACCAGTTAGGACAAAGACCAGGGCCCAGGTGTCATTCACTGAAACCAAGGGTCTTTGGTATAAAGATGTCTAGTGCTGGTGGTCTGGAATATGCATATGATAGTTTAAGACACCTAGTAGAGGCCAGTTGGTGTCAGGATGTCTCATCTGGTCCTTCCTTAGATGTTATTTCTTCTAGAGAAATCATTAACTCCTTGTCCCTTACAAGGAGGACATGCACTATATGCATTCTGAGGTGTGTGTAAAGTAGGGTGGGGGTGCAGGTCTTGGCAGAACTAGAAGCAGGAAAAGGAGCAGAAAGCAGATATGTATGGAGTCCTTCAGTTTTCCGGTCTCTGAAATCTACCTAAACTTAAGTTTTCTTATCTGTAAATAGATATAAGGACATCTACTGTTTGGGGTGAGATTTTATTGCCTCCTTCCCTACATGCAAAGCAGTCGCCAAACGGGAACAAAAGTGTTGGTTTATTATTTTTTTTTTTTAATGTTTATTTCTGAGAGAGAGACAGCATGAGCAGGGGAGGGTAAGAGAGAGAGGGAGATACAGAATCTGAAGCAGGCTCCAGGCTCTGAGCTAGTCGTCAGCACAGAGCCCGATGCGGGGCTTGAACCCACAAACTGTGTGATCGTGACCTGAGCTGAAGTCGGACGCTTAACTGACTGAGCCACCCAGGCGCCCCAAAAGTGTTGGTTTATTAATGTCTGAGTAAGCATCTTAAAACCACCCAAATGTAGGGCTTCTGCAGAGAGATGTGCTGGCCCATGAGGCCAGGGCTCAGAAGGCTGAATGAGGCTACTCATTTCCACTTTCCTGTAATTGGAGTCAATAGAAGACCAGGACCAGGCTTCTAATCGGTGACATGCCTGAGTGGCTGGGCTCAAGAGCAAACATGGAGCTGAGTCTCTCCCAAAGAGCCAGGCTCTTTCTAGGTCAAATTACTGCCTGAGAGCAGATAGTTCAATTGTGACCCCTTGGCACAATAATCGGCAGAGGAAGAGTGGCAGAAGGCGTGCCCAGCCTAAGCAATGATATGAAGGCACAGTACCCCACCCAGCAGGAAACGGGGCAGAAGGAAGCTGTTCTCTGTGGACTGGTTTTCATGAAATGGGCACATACTTGAGCTAAACATAGCAAGGCCATCCTCAGGCCCAGCCTAACAGTAACAGCAAAATCAGTGAGAACAAAAAACAGACCCTTACCTTATAGAGCTTTAAATGGGATTAAATAAATAATGTGTATAAAGTGCCCAGCATGTACACATTGGCCAAGCACCAATGACCACTGTACCCTGTAAAGAGAAGCAGTTTTTCATTAGGCAAGTATTATCATCAAGACCATTGCACAGCTGAGGAATGGAAGGCTCAGAGACATGAATTCTGGTCTGGTATAAAAACCAATAACAAAAGAACATCACAAACAATCAAACAAATACTTTTACCTTGATTTAGATTTGGAAACCCTTGGAAGCATTTTTTGTTAAGGGACTAGATATGAGAGAAAATAATCAGTCTATTTCCTACAAGTCCAAAAGTTACTTTGAGCTTTTGTAGTAGGTGAGCTCAGAGATGGACCTGAAGGACGGGGAACATGCTAATGAACCTCTGCCATAGACACCATTTGGAAACCATCACTACTTCTTATATTTTGCATGTAGTGTGACTTCATGAAGTGATCTCAAAATGTATAACCTCAGAGATCAGTAGTTACACTTCAGATTGGACAAGTTCTTGTAGTAAAACAAGTTGACAAGAAAGTCCTTATCTCTTTATATTGACTATGAGGAAACACATTAGAGAAGTTCAACAAATTTGATTTTACTGGAGATCAAGGGTTTTTTGTTTAGGATGCTGGTAGTAAATATTTTGTATTTCTCTGCTTTCTGTTAGTGGGGGAGGGGGAGCTATTTAATCTAGAGTAACCTAATAAAGAGCATATTTGATATTTAAATGTTTGCTCCATATATTCCCCAAATTGAAGCTTCTTGAACACAGATTCAAATTTCTGATTTCATATGTTTGTGTGAAGAGTTATATCTCTCTGGATTGTCTAGGTAACATCACAGTAATAACCTTAAATGTCAGTGACTTCAAACAATAAGGTCATAGTTCTCACCTGTGCTACATGCATCATCATGGGCTCCTCTTGGTCCTCATTCATAGACGTAGGCCAAGAGAATTTCCATTTTTGTGCTTCCACGGTTGCAGAAGCAGGGAAAAATAAACATGGCGAATTAAGCATTGCCTTTTATTACTTCTTTATGAAAGTGAGACCATGGGGCGGTTAAGCGTCCAACTTCGGCTCAGGTCATGATCTCGTGGTTCGTGGGTTCGAGCCCCACGTTGGGCTCTGTGCTGACAGCTAGCTCAGAGCCTGGAGCCTATTTCTGATTCTGTGTCTCCCTCTCTCTCTGACCCTCCCCTGCTCACGCTGTCTCTCTCTCTCTCTATCTCTCTCTCTCTCAAAAATAAATAAAACATTAAAAAAAAAAAAAAGTGAGACCGTCACTTCTCACATTTCATTGTCCAGTTAAAGTCACATATCTGTGACTAACTTCAAAGAGGTCAGAGCAGTGCGCTCCTCCCATTTAATGAAAGGCAGACAGCCAGAAAATACTTATAAAATCACTAATGACCACTATAAGAGGTGTCTTATTATTCCGATTTCAAATCAAGGTCATGAAAGTAGTTTGTGGAAGAGGACAATTATGAACCTAAGTTAGACTGAAGACTTAATGTATCTTATATAGTATTATGCTATACTGTAAGAGTATGTAAAAATAAGAAAATTGCCCTCTACCTTCAATTCAGCTTACTAAAAGTAAGAGAGCTTTGGGTGCTCTGAATGCTATTTCTCTTACATTACATAATAAATATTTTTGCTTTTGTGAAGCATTGAAAGGTAAAGCTTCTCAAAGGAATGTGAGGGAGGGGAAGAGAAAGAAGATGCATGGATAGGGTGTCCAAGAGATACTTCAAGAGAGTTGTCAAAAATATTGCGCTTTTGTCATATATAGGTCTCTGCTCCAGCATTATTTTAAAATATTGATATGAAAACTGTTTTCTTTTTTTACCCTATCTGTAGGAGAATATAAACATTGATGAAGCCTCCAGATGCCTGGTGAAACATATACTTGCAAACGAGTGTGACCTAATGGAGTCCATCGAGCCGGACATCGTGAAGCCCCATCTCACATCATCCAAGATTGTCAGCTGCTCCAGCTGTGCCAAATCCTAGTAGCCTTCTTTGCTGGCATATGATGGAAATAATTCCATTATCTCATGTCTCAATTCTTACCAATTTGAGTAAATGTCAGAATACGGATACACATGTGGCAAGCCAAAGATCTATGTCTGTATATTTCCTATAAGAGAGGAAAAATAGCAAATGTTCTTTTCATATTTTTCCCAGCATCAGCACGGTGTTTACAAGCTTGTTAAATATTTAGTCTGTTACAGAGTTCTGTCTTGTAGCCGACCACAGTTCTGGAGGTCCAGCACCAGCCCTGTTATTTGCTTCTTGGATTTGGCCAAGGCCTCCGGTCTTAAGGAGAAAGGGGAGAAGAGCAGACTAGCTATCAAGTTCAGCACCAGCTTTCACTTTGCCCCTGGTGCCTTTGTCCAGATTTCAATACACTCTCTGCTGGGCTGACAGGCCTATTAAGTAGAAACAGTTTTCTGCTCCAGAGATGACTTCCATTTCCAACAGCCCTAAGAGTTGTCTCCGATTTAGCCCCTCAGAGTCGTGTACACAGGCTTCCCATGCTTTTCTTGCTTTTATTGTCCCTTGCCATGTCCTGAATGATGGTTTAACTGAAAAGTGTGTGAAAAGACCTGCCTCCAAATGTGCCTTTCTGTTCGCTTTCTCTGACTTAAGCCATGAGGCTCTTCTGTTCATGTAATATATATTATATATATTTTCACAAGTGGAAAATAAAACATTACAAGATGCTTTTTCCCTATTTCTGAAAATGCTTTAAGTGTCTTAGTATTGTAAATTTTTTTTGACTGTGTAGCCATGGTTCTCAAGACCCATTTCTAAAATTTTATTTCAAAGTGGGGATGAGAAACATATACTTAAAGGAACTTCTAGGCGCTATTATGCTGAGATGGGTCTATCTATTTTTCATATCAGCATTTAGGCCAAGCAGTATATCTACATTTTCTTTTTTCTTTCTTCTTTTTTTTTTAAATCTTTATTTTTGAGAGAAAGAGAGAGACAGAGTGCGAGCAGGGGAGGGGCAGAGAGAGAGGCAGAGACAGAGACAGAGACAGAGACAGAATCCGAAGCAGGCTCCAGGCTCTGAACTGTCAGCACAGAGCCCGACGTGGGGCTCTAACTCAGACTGTGAAATATTGACCTGAGCTGAAGTTGGATGCTTAACTGAGTGAGCCACCCAGGTGCCCCTACATTTTTTGGTTAATCAGAGGAAGATATTTTCATATGTTCTAATCAGGAAAGGACCAGACCAGTCAACATACAAAGAAACAGCTAAAATATGCATGGTAATATTGTGGTTTACACAATGTGCTGAAGATAGGTACTGTTCTTTAATAGCATTTAATGGCATTGATATTCATAATATACTCACAGGAGCTTTGTCCTACCCATATTATCTTGATATTCACTGTGTCTATAAGCACCAACCACTCAGCTTCCTACTACAAATGTTTGTGACCCATTCCCTGAGGGCATTCTCTGGAGCATTTGACAAGTGAGGCAGGCAGATGAGAAGTTCCAGGAGTTAATGTCTATAGGAGCAGCTCTCAACCGATGATAGCAGGAAGTGGGATATGACTACCCTGGGTTCCTTGTCATTCAGGAACCACATTCTTCTTTTTTTAAATTTTTTTTTGATGTTTATTTATTTTTGAGAGAGAGAGAGCATGAGCAGGGGAGGGGCAAAGAGAAAGGGAGACACAGAATCTGAAGCAGGCTCCAGGCTCTGAGCTATTACATACAGCCCCATGTGGGACTTGAACCCACAAATTGTGAGATCATGACCTGAGCCAAAGTTGGACTCTCAAGTGATTCATTCTGAGGCATCTGAGGCATCTCACAGAGGTTCCAGTGGGAGTAAGCCCTGGTTCCCACAGGGGAAACCTTCCATCTGACTCATTCTGGATGGGCTTCCTTTTCTTTTTTCCTCACTTCCTCCCTCCTCTACTGGTCCTTCCTGGGTTCACTTCCCAAATAAACTCCTTTCACTGAAGTCCTTGTTTCAGGGTCTTATGGGGAAACCCAAACCCAGCCTAAGTTAGTTGGGCCAAAAGTGGCCTAAGAGTCAGATTCTCAACACCAGCTTCTTGAACTGAATCACTCATCACCCAGGTGGTAGCAAGAACCCACTTGCTGGTAGACAATGTGGTGGAGCTAATCCCTAGTAAGCTGTAGCACCTCTGTCATCACGTGGATTGGAATAGAATATAGATGGAAGGAAAATCTATTGCTTTTGGGTTTGAAAGACATGAGATTTTGGAGTTAACTTTTAGAAACTCTGTAGGAGAAAACTTACAGAGTTGAATCAGCTAACACTCAACTCAGTATTTGGTATAGAAGCTTGAAGACCTCCAAACAACATTCAGAATAATCCTCATTTCCCTTGGCTACAGGATAGACAGGATGGATGCTGAAAATCAGGCCTAAGATTTTAGGAGAAGCAGACTTTTATTTTTATTGATTTTTTTTAATGCTTATTTATTTATTTTGAGAGAGAGAGAGAGAGAGCACACCCACAAGCAGGGCTGGGGTGGAGAGAGAGAAAGAATCCCAAGGATCTAGGTGGGGCTCAAACTCACAAACTGTGTGATCATGACTGGAGCCAAAATCAAGTCAGACGCTTAACCAACTAACTGAGCCACCCAAGCTCCCTGAGAAGCAGACTTTCAAAGAGGCTGACTCCATAGAGCTAGAAAATTTCCTCCACTAAAGTCAGAATTTTTATTGGAAAGGAATCTGATGCTGAAATATAGAAGGAGATAATTTGGATAGATGCTCTTGAACCTTGAACCCAAAGATTCTTCTGAAACTGTGGCCCAGAAAAAAGACCTTTACCCTTTCCCAGGGGAGAACAGCCACTTGTCACATAAAGACTCTACCTGTACAGGATGTTTTGTAAGGTGATGCTTTTCTTTCTCAAGTTCTGCTCCCATCTGCCCTCATTGCTTCTGGACAAATAACTAGGATCAAGTCTCAGTGTGAACTGAGGAGAAAAGCATGCTCTATATTGAAGGGTGAAATGGATTATTAATCAAATGAACTACAGAGCCTGGCTAATAAGTACGGGTAGGAATCTGGAGAACATTCTTGAATTGGTCTTAAGATACTGCACCAGTGAGGACAGAATGTAGCACCAGATGATGGATAATCTATTTCTATGAGAGCACTCTTTAATGAGTTAATTTTTAACATTCTGGCAAGGAAACCTGGAGCTGATCCCAATGTGCTACTAGAATAGCTCTTTGAAGCTTGGAAACAATGTTGGCCTAAAATAAATGATGTGAAGGTGCCAGAACTACCTTGGCAAAGTATTAGAGAAGAGCTCTAAGGTCTAAGAGAGGTGGGAATATTATAATGTATTTTGTAATGTCAGAGAAACTACCAGCTGATTATGTTCCTCAAGAGAGCCCAGAAGACGCTCCCTTCAGTAAAACAATGAGTGTCCCCAAAACAGGGGTACCAGCATCGGTGAGAAGCTCATGGTGGCTGTTCTCGGTACCAGATTTGAGACTGTAAGTATGTTGCTGTGTTTTGCTGGGAATGACACTGACGTGGTTAAGGTTCAGTATGTGGTAGTAGTATATTTAGTGCTGGGTCCTGGATCTTGAGCATCAAAAGGTGGAAGTGGGAGTGAAGCCTCCTACTGTCTCTTTAAATAATCATAAAAAACTGAGCTTCCCCTTTTTACAACTTCGTGTTCTGCAGAGTTAGAGGTCTTGATAATTCTACCAGGGGATACAGTAAAGGTTCTGCCAAATCTATAGCTTCTTCATCTGCTTCCTGATTTTTTTTGTCTCCTCATGCCTGTGGGCCTGTTAGAGAAGATTGTTACTGTACAGGCAGGGGTAACTCATCCTGATTACCAAGAAGATAGGGTTGTTGCTCAATAATTAAACAGAGAGAAGTATGTCTGGAAATCCGGGGGCTCGTTGGAGTGCCTCTTGATGCTTCCATGCCTAGTGAAAATTAAAAGGGCAATTGCGGTGATAACATCTTGAAGAGTACAAGTAACCAGGGACTCACACTCAGGAACAAAGTTCTGCATGTGCTACATGATGACCCTTGCCTAGGAGTAGAGGGTCAAGGGACGGAAGTGGTAAAGGAGGGAGATGCTGCATGTCAATGATCATCTCAAGATTAACTATGGCTGTGGAGATTGGAGCACATCCCACCAACCCTTTATTGTGAGTTCCTATTGCTTTCCCTCTTTCTTTCGGAATTATGACCAATGGTTTCCTTTAAAAAATCAGTGAAAGGACAGACTGAACTTAACACTGGCATCAATGAATCTGAGAAATGCAAGGTGTGGGCTACAGTAGTCAATAGCGGAAGAAGTACTCAGGTCCATCCAGCACGTGGCTTCCCATTGCAATCCCTTGCAACTCTGCCTAAAAGATTTCTCCAGATGCATGGAGTGTATTTGTCTTGCATGCTGGACAGGCCAGAGTGTTACAGGGTTAGTTATCACCTATAAGAACAGTCTCATCTGAGACTGACAATCAGGCAGTAAGTACTTCAGCATCCCCCTCAGGTGCAACAAATCTGAGGCTAACTCCATGAACCCTCAGAAGTCCCCAATGGGATTGAAGCAGGGTTTCACACAGTGGTGACCTGCTCATTACCACAACTGTTTTGTTTCCCTTCCTTGCCTGTCCTGCTTCTCTACTCCTCTGCCATTGTTTCCAAGGATCTTCTCCCAGTGAAGGGATTTCCATTTCTGACTGATATTTAACTGCTAATAATTACTTTTTTAATGTTTATTTATTTATTTTGAGGGGAGAAGGGGCACAGAGGGAGGGAGAGAGAATCCCTCGCAGGCTCCTCACTGTAGCACAGATCCTGACATGGGCTTCAAACTCAAAACTGTGAGATTATGACCTGAGCCGAAATCAAGAGTCAGACGCTTAACAGATTGTGCCGCCCAGGCTCCCCCGACTGCTAATCATTCTTAAAACATCAGAGCATCCAGGCAGTAATTTTCATTACCATGGAATCTCTAATTCACTGTTTTTCTTTCTAAACATCCACTGAAACGTGGTGTCTAAAAATAAGCATGGTAAGATTTGAACTGTCTTCTCTCATCCAGCACATAAAATTGTTATTTAGTCTTCAACATGAGTATTCATTGAGTTATTGATTCCTTTACTCCTTTAACAAATATTTATTGAACAATTACTATATTCCCAGCACTCAGCTGGGCACTTTTTCGAAGACACAAATGGCTTATCATGGTCTCATATCTTAAGATGTTATAATCAGATAGGAAACTCAAATATGTAAACAATTTACAATGTATCAAAAGAGAAATCAAATCTCCAAACTGAGATATTTCTTCTGAAAACATAAGTTGTTTTTAAATGCAGGGACTTCGGCTCCAATTGTGTTTAAGGAAATAGAATATATGTGCCTACCATTCTCTTCCTAAGACACAAGGATCTAGCCTCCCTAGACTGTTTTGTTCAGCTAGGTTTTCCTGCTGTTTACAATATTCTTTGCCTGGAAATCCTACCCATTCTTCAAGGGTCGGCATAATGACACAGCCTTTGTAGAGTTGTAGGTCTCTGTAAGTAATTCAAATCTCTTCCTATACTTGCTCAACTCTTGACTCTGTTATCACTCACATGCTACATCATAGTGATATATCAACTGTTCTTTATAGAACACATACTATAAGATAGTCACTGATATGTAAGCTTACCTTTATTATGTCATTTAATCCCCACAACAATCCTGCATGGAATTACTCATTTCT